ATTTTTGTACCCTTTCCATATTATTTTCCTTCATTTTTCCGCCAATTTCCGTCCCATATTTTCCCTATCTTATCTCAAAGATCTCCGATTTTGATCGTTCAACGAGTCTTCTCCAACTGATCTCCGAATTAACCCCCCTTTCTCCCCAAAAAACCTCGTCATTCCCAAACCTGTCATTGACACCCAGGCGGTTTCATCATTCCATACAGTTTCCGTTCCTCCCACGTGATGTGATGGGTCTCTTGCAGAAAAAAAAGAAGGATATGACAGTGATAAACAAGATGTGTCATTTGGTTTGATGTTTGAAAGTCTGATCTTATCATCGATGCTGTATCATTTAGTGGAAAAGAGGAACAGCAGAGAACAAATCGGGTCACAAACTAGCACGATGAAGAATGAAGGGGGACTAAATTTTTTTTCCAAGTTTGGTGCATCGCCAACTTCAAAGTCTTGTATCTAGGTTGGCTTTAGTCTAATAGCTCTGAAATTTTGATTTTTGAGCTCTGAAAGTTACAAGCTTCAAAATGAGCATAAACATGGCTTCCTTCTGATGCTTTTCATTTTTCCGTATATCGACAGTTTCAAAGCTCTGTATCTAGCTTGATTTTTGTCTGATATCTTTAAAATTGTAAAATTTGAATCGGTGACGCAATCAACTTTGAAATGAGTATAAGCTAGACCCCATTTGAACACTTTTTATTTTCAAAATGAGCATAAACATGGCTTCCTTCTGATGCTTTTCATTTTTCCGTATATGGTGCATCGACAGCTCCAAAGCCTAATTTCGGGAATTCTTAAGCTTTTGGGTGTCTGAAAATTAGCCAGTAACTAACTAGAGCTTATGAAAGCCGGATGTCTGAAATTATTATTTTTGAAAATTTTGGTTTTTTTCACTGAAAGACTCAGGTCCAGACGATACTCCAGTTTTCAACCTAGCATAGCGTAACCCTCTGATAGAATGAGCCATTCAACTTCGAGTCCACTCATCTCGGTTCCTATTAGAGATATCAAAAAGTGAAAAACTGTCTAAATGCTCTTGATATCAAGATGAACATTTCATCAGTTGACAAGTTTTTGATATCTTTCACAGGAAATGAGATATGAGGGCTTTTTCAATTGATCTCTGAAATACCAATTCGCCTAGCAACACATCATCATTGATCCTACTCATCAATGGACGAATCTGAACAGACATCTGAACTTTTGTCATGGACAGACAAAAAAAATAAAGAAACAAGACATGGTTTGGATATTCGATTCCTCATTTGTGTTCCCGGTTTCGATGATGATCACCACCACCACCACCACCACACGTGATTAGTGATGATGAATAATAGAGTGTTTGATTTTCTAGGGATTTCCACAGTGAATTTTGTTGGAAGACGGAGAAAATTTATTTTGAAGCCGTGTCGTTTCAAAGCTGATAACGTCGCCAACCCAAATTTTAACACTTCAGAGCTATTAGACCGAAACCAAGCTAGATACAAAGTTTTCAAACTGACGGTGCACTATTTTCTAAAAAATTGATTTTTTCAGAAATGAGTCATGTTCATGCTTATTTTTAAGCTCATAACCGGAACAACTCAAATTTTGAAATTTTAAAGTGATTAGACTAAAAACAAGCTAGACATAAGGCTTTGGAGCTGGCGATGCACGATGTTGGAAAAATAAAAAGTGTTCAAATGGGGTCTAGCTTATACTCATTTCAAAGTTGATTGCGTCACCGATTCAAATTTCACAATTTTAAAGATATCAGACAAAAATCAAGCTAGATACAGAGCTTTGAAACTGTCGATCCACCATGTATGGCAAAATGAAAAGTGTCTGAAGGGAGGCATGCTTATGCTCATTTTGAAGCTTATAACAACGCTGATTTAAATTTTAGGATTTCAATTCTATTAGACTAAAACCGTGCTAGATATGAGGTTTTGAAGCTGGCGATGAATCATATTGGGAAAAATGAAAGTTTTCAGAAATGGGTCATGTTTATACTCATTTTGAAGCTAATACCGTTTTGAACTAAAAAATCAATATTTCAGCGCTATTAAACCAAAAACCAGTAGATACAGGACTTTGAAGCTGGCGATGCACCATGTTGGAAAAATGAAAGTTCCCAGAAATGGGTCATGATTATATTCATTTTGAAGCTTATAACGCCACTAACTCAAATTTCTAAAATTCAGAGCTATCAGACCAGAATAAAGCTAGATACAGAACTTCGAAGCTGACGATGTTGGTTGGAAACTAGCCTAGATACATAGTCTTATTTTGAACTCTCCTTCTTTGAACCCATTTTGCCAAGATCCAAAAACCCAAAATTCCAAACCACCTATTTTCCGTGGCCTGAAATCAAGTCTGTTTACTAGACCGTATGTAATCAAAAGTGTAACTACTAGGGGTTTCCCCTATCTTTTGGGCTTTTAGTCGTTTGATCTTCCCTTTTTCGCATCTTTCGAAGATCAAAACTACTATACTGATAAGGGCGGCCATGTGTTATGTGTATCTTGATAAGAGTGTTTTCTAGAAGTTTCGTCTTATCAGACTGAACTGATAGTGAGGCAAGCATGGTTTGGGTATTGATAACGGGAGGTAAAATAAGCTCCGCCTCTCCTAACCTGGGTAACCGTGGGTATAAAAAGATACCAGTCAGACAAATTTTTATCAACAACAGCTCATCAGCTACTACTTGAAAATGCTCAAGACCCTTTTCTTCACCCTCCTGGCTTTTCTCTTCCTGTCTTCTACAGTATCCGCTGGCATCATCCTCCGTGACCGTCGTGCTATTGAAGACTACTGGTATTCGAATGGAGTTGTTCACAATATGGTTTCCGATAATATGGTTGGAGGACCAACGTCTCTTGGATGGGCTCAGGTGCCGCACAGATTGAGCCCAATGTTCTCGCCGTTGTTTGGAAGGAAGTGAACTTTGGAAGCCTAATTTTATGCCCAAATGACCAGTATTATGATAATTATTGATCTCATTTTATGAATTTTGTATTGATAAATGATTTTTTTTTGATTTTAAGAAATGCTTGTTAGATTCGAGACCCAAAAAAATGGGTCCATCAGAATAAAAAACATCTGGCGTCAAATTTGAGCTCAATTATCTCGGTTCCTGTAAATTATATATGAAACGTGTCTACTGACTTGATATAATATTTCTGATAATATGACAAACGTTTTATCAGTTGACAGATGTTCGATATCTCTGATAGTAGCTCGGATAATAGACCTCAAAGTGCGATTGACGTTCGATAAGAACCTTTGAGCTATGATGCCTCTGTTATCGTCTGATTATGCGTTTGGTATCATTCGTATATGACGTATCCATTGCTTACCAACAAGCTCAACGTCCTGAATTCTAGAATGAGCTATTTTAAATTCAAAATGATTCCATAACAACAATCAGTTTGAATGATCAGCTACAACACAAGCTGATCCGGATGAGTGTAGTAGGTGACGTCCATCATAATTTTCCTATAAAAACTCTTATCCCACGTTTACTATTCCAAAAACAATGCAAGTCAAGGACCCCATCATCTGCACTGAGTGTGTGGAGGTTTTCCATTCCAACTATGAAATCGTCAGTGTTCTTGGCCAAGGAGCATTTGGTGTCGTTTTTCATGCACATAGAAAACGAGATATGGAGGAGTTTGCGGTGAAGAGATTGGATTTGGACGCGTGAGTTATTTTTGGGGGATTCTATGGGTTTTGAGACCTTCGGATCTTTTTGAGTGTAGGTTGAATAAGGCAGAGAGACTTAAGCTTGTCTGGAGCATACAGTAAAGGTTTTAGCCATACCATTGACTATGAGCTCAATTATCTCGGTTCCTATAAAAGATATCAAGAGTTTGTCAATTGATAAAATGTTTGTGATATCAAGATAAATAATTTATCAATTTAAATATTTTTCTCTATCTTCTAAAGGAACCGAGATAAATGGGCTCAAAGTTGGCAAACTAAATTTTGAGTTTTTCAGTGCAAAATAATCAACTTTAACTTTACGTTTTAGGGCCACCCTCAGTATAGCGGCCCGTGAAGTCAACAACATCACCTCAATAGGCTGCCACCCTGGATTTTTAATTTTTGAAGAAGTCTTTTTCAACGAACACCATACTAAATCAATGGGTCACTTGTACATTGCCATGGAGCTCTGCGAGCAGCTAACTCTCAAGGAATGGCTCCAAATGGCTCAAACTGCTCGGAGCCGTCCTTGGTGTCTGATGAGTGACTGGATAAAACAGTTGGCGCGGGCGTTGGACCATCTTCATAAAAATAACTTTATTCATCGGGACCTTAAACCTGCGAATGTCTTTTTCCCAAGAGGCGCGGATTTCAAAAAATTGAAAATTGGGGATTTTGGACTGGCTACCAGAGCCATTGTCAATTTGGAAGAAGGAGGACTTCAGTGAGCTCAGAGTTTCCAAAACATTCCCCCTATATTTTTGTTTCTCAGATCTCTTATGGAGCAAACTGCCCAAAAACACACTGGCGGAGCTGGCACTCCGTATTATATGGCTCCGGAGCAAACTGGAGAGATTTATGACGAGAAGGTGGATATTTTTGCTCTGGGGCTCATCTCGGCTGAGCTCATAATTCTGAACTCGCCGATGGAGGGGGTGTGCACGAATGATATAATTCGAAGTGGTCAGTGGCCGATTGCGTGGTTGGATTATCCGGATGCGGTGGGTTTTGGTTTATAATAAGAGTGTGGCACTGTCGACCGCGGTTAGCCGCGGCCGGCTATGACTAGGCCCGAGAAAGCCGCTCAGAAAAAAAAACAAAAAGCCGCAGCCGGTTTCGAGAAAAACGGAATTTCTGGATTTTATGATTTTTTTTGTAATTTTTATAAAACCTGAATGTTCAAGTTTTCAGATTTCTGGAAAACAACAATTTTTGGGTTTTTAGGATATTTTTGAATTTCTGTTTCAGATATTCTAAATTTTGAAATTTTAATATTCAAAAATTCTGAAATTCTAAAATTCTAGAATTCTGAGATTCTAAATTTTTGAAATTCTGAAATTCTGAAATCCTGAAATTCTGAAATTCTGAAATTCTGAATTTCTGAGATTCTGAGATTCTGAGGTTCTGATATTCTGAGATTCTGATATTCTGAGATTCTGAGATTCTGAGATTCTGAGATTCTGAAATTCAGAACATCTGAAATACGGAGATTCTGAAATTCTGAGATTCTGAGATTCTGAGATTCTGAGGTTCTGAGATTCTGACATTCTGAAATTCTGAGATTCTGAGATTCTGAGATTCTGAGATTCTGAGATTCTGAGATTCTGAGATTCTGAGATTCTGAGATTCTGAGATTCTGAGATTCTGAGATTCTGAGATTCTGAGATTCTGATATTCTGACATTCTGAGATTCTGAGATTTTGAGATTCTGAGATTCTGAGATTCTGATATTCTGAGATTCTGAGATTCTGAGATTCTGAGATTCTGAGATTCTGAGATTCTGAGATTCTGAGATTCTGAGGTTTTGAGATTCTGAGATTCTGATATTCTGAGATTCTGAGATTCTGAGATTCTGAGATTCTGATATTCTGAGATTCTGAGATTCTGAGATTCTGAGATTCTGAGATTCTGAGATTCTGATATTCTGATATTCTGAGATTCTGAGATTCTGATATTCTGATATTCTGAGATTCTGAGATTCTGAGATTCTGTGATTCTGAGATTCTGAGATTCTGAGATTCTGAGATTCTGAATTTCTGAGATTCTGAGATTCTGAGGTTCTGATA